AGCCCTTTAGCCATTTCCTCTATTCCCATACAAAATGTTCCACTTTTATCCCAAGCCCCTAACATAGTACCACAATCTGGTGATAATCATGTTCCCAAGCCTACATGTCAATATCCCCTAACTAAAAAAGGCCCTACTCATATATCCATTAACCAGGACCCCAATCTTCAGGAGGTACATCAATCCACTGGTCCTAAGTCTGCTCCTGTCCAGCCTGTCCCAGGTCACATTTTTATTATCTCTGCCATAGAACAATTTGGTACAAGACAAAGTCTAGACTAGTCTTCTACAAGACAAAGTCCAACCAGTCCTATTGACAATAACTTCTTTCAAGACATGTCCAGTCATACTATCCATGGCATAGGACCATCTGAACCTTATTCTCCCAAGGGTAATAACTCTAGTAAGGTTAGACAAAATAACATAATTTCTAGTAAATACCATAAGTCAAATCTTGTTTCCTCTAGTTATCCTGAGGATAACCACAAAGGATTATATTTAACTGATAATATTCTACCCAATTTTAAAGATAATCCCACACCTTAATAATCCAGTTCCAATAGAGAAACTCACTCTATTCAAGACCTATGTACCACACTTTTTTCTAATGAACTCACTTTGTCATCCTGCATTCCTATCTCTGAATCTTCCCAATCTCCCTCCATTGGTACTAGTATACCTGGTGCTTCTTTCCTTGAAAATAATCACCCTATGCTGACTAGAGCCAAAACTGGCAAGTCAAAACCTAAAGTGTTCTTAGTCCATATCGAGTCTAAACCAACTGTGTTAAGAAATCTATGACCAAGACTGAGTGAGTTAAGGCCATGACAGATGAATTCAATGCACTACAAGCTAATAACAATTGGACCTTAACTACTCTACCTCTAACAGAAAGACAGTAGGCTATAGGTGGGTTTTTAAGATCAAAGAAAATTCTGATGGAACAATTCACAAACATAAAGCTAGATTAGTGGCAAAGGGCTTCCATCAAGAACAAGGCTTTGATTACACTTAAAATGTTTCTCCAACGGTAAAACCTACCACTATTAGGGTTATTCTAACTCTTGCCATCACACACAAATGGGACATTCAACAAATAGATGTAAACAATTCCTTTTTAAATGTCACTCTTAATGATGAGGTATACATGACCCAACCATCAGGTTTTGTGAGTCCTAATAAGATCTTTATGTGTAAGATTCACAAAGTCATTTATAGACTCAAACAAGCCCCAAGGGCTTGGTATGAGAAAATGACTCAAGCATTGCTACAGTTTGGCTTCACTACTTCCAAGTGTGATAGCTCTCCATTTTTCTACTCAAAACTTGGTGTTTCCTTATATGCTTTGGTTTCTGTTGGTGATATACTTATCACTGGATCAAGTGTAACACCTGAGGTGAAAGAGGACGGTGGTTACATGTAACACCCGTGGGCGAGGGAGTGGTTGTCGGTGTCATGAGGCATGACAATGAGACACTCCTAGCAGCTTCTGGGGGAAAACCGAATTCACATTCGAATGAGATGGATCCTGAGAGGCTATGCAGGTATGGGACTGCATGGTTGAATGAAGGCTTATAAGGATTAATTGGTACTACCTATACCAACAAGATGCATCTTCTTTTCGGTAGCCCGTTCATAAGAACTCCATAGTTAAGCGTGCTTGACTTGGAGCAATTCTGGGATGGGTGACCTTCTGGGAAGTTTCCTGGAAAGCGTGTGATTGAGGACAAAGCATGCTAAAAAGACCCGTGTTGGTTTGTGGGGTTATTCGGTAATCCTAAAAGCAATATGAGGCATTACAAATGGTATCAGAGCCAGACCTCTCCCAGTACGATGTGGTTCGAGGACGAACCACGCGGAAGCTGGTGGGCATGTAACACCTGAGGTGAAAGAGGAAGGTGGTTACATGTAACACCCGTGGGCGAGGGAGTGGTTGTCGGTGTCATGAGGCATGACAATGAGACACTCCTAGCAGCTTCTGGGGGAAAACCGAATTCACATCCGAATGAAAGGGATCCTGAGAGGCTATGCAGGTATGGGACTGCATGGTTGAATGAAGGCTTATAAGGATTAATTGGTACTACCTATACCAACAAGATGCATCTTCTTTTCGGTAGCCCGTTCATAAGAACTCCACAGTTAAGCGTGCTTGACTTGGAGCAATTCTGGGATGGGTGACCTTCTGGGAAGTTTCCTGGAAAGCGTGTGATTGAGGACAAAGCATGCTAAAAAGACCCGTGTTGGTTTGTGGAGTCAGTCGGTAATCCTAAAAGCAATATGAGGCGTTACATCAAGTACATCTCTTATACAAAAGTTAATCAATAATTTGAATCATGATTTTGCTCTAAAAAGGCTGGGTCGACCTAGCTACTTTCTAGGTATTGAAGTACAATTATGCAGCAATGGTTCCAAGTTCCTCACTCAGTCAAAATATGTCAAGAATCTCCTGACAAGAGCAAATATGGATAATGTTAATGGGGTTCCTACTCCCATTTTGAACAACTGTAAGTTAAGAAAACATGCCACAAATCATTTTTATGATCCTCTGCTTTAAAAGTCCATTATGGGTGTTGTTCAATATGTGGCCTTAACCAGACCTGATATTGCTTTTAGTGTGAATAAAGCCTTCCAGTTCATGGCATGTCCTCTAGATACTCATTGGCTCCAGTCAGAAGACTCTTACGATATTTAAGTGGTACAATCAAACATGGTTTGCTTCTATCTCCTTTCCTCTCTGCTTCCAGGTTCTCTCTTCGAGCCTACAGTGGCTCTGGCTGGGCTAGTGGCATGATCAAGTATTGAAGCAGAATATCAAGCTTTAGTAGATACCACATCTGAGCTACTTCGGTTAGAATTACTACTCTCAGAACTCTATATTCCAATTTATCCACCAACACTGCTTTGTGACAACCTAATTTTTGTCCTTCTGTCACACAATCTGGTACTTCATGCTCGTACGAAACACATTGAATTAGACTTCCACTTTGTAAGAGAATGGGTTGTAGCTTAGAAGATAAGAATTCAACATGTTCCAGCAGCTCTTCAACTTGCAGATACGCTTACAAAGTCGCTTGGAAATTCTGCATTTTAGGAACGTCGTGGAAAACTCAAGGTGGTGTGTGACATTTTCCACTCTTCAGTTTGAGGGGGTGTTAATGATATATGATATGTTGTAGCTAACTGTTTACTCTAGGAAATTAATCATCCTTTTTGTAATTTGTTATGTTAGCATTAGTTAGCTAACTGACAGCTAAGCATGACGGTGTTGAGTCACCATGTATATATATTCAGATACCTTGTACAATTGTAATTCAATGAATGAATTACATTGTATTCTCATTTTCATCTTTTCACATTCACTGCATTCACCTTCACATAGTGAAGGATGATGAAGATTCAACTCTAACACATTTTAATTTGGCCTTTGAGGTAATTTTTAGAATTGGTTTTTATTTTTTTATTATGAGTTTTAAGACCCTACGATAAATATTTAAGTAAAAAAACATTAATTTTACTATTTCTATTTTATTTTTTACCTTTCCAAGATTCTTTTCCTTCTTAATTTTGTTGTTGTTGTTGTTGTTGTTGTTGTTGTTGTTGTTGTTGTTGTTGTTGTTGTTGTTATCGTTGTTTTATACCTTAAAATTCATCATTCTATCATGAGCACACATGTAGTAATCATAATTTTTGCTTGTGTTTATCTTGTGAATATTGTCAAAACTTCGCCAAATTTCTAATATGGAATTTCACCAAATCTTGGAGAATTTTGAATCAATTTTGATGAATAAGAATCAATCTTTCTGATTGATTAATCCTCTTATTCTTATCTCTTTATTTGAATGAATCAACCACACCTTGGTTGCAAGATGATTTTGTTGCACTATGAGTATTGAAAAATAAAAGAAAAGATGAATTGGGGAAGAAAGGGGAATTATGGTGTTGGAGAAGAGGGGGAGAAAGGGAATATTTTTGGAGAGTTTCTCTTTGCTTTGAAATTGAAATTTTATTCAACTTTTCTGTACAAATGCATTGTTACAATGATAGGGTACCTCCCTATTTATAGGCTGAAATTTCTTGAACACCAAGAAATTTGTAACTAACCTAACTAACTCGGCTAAAACAAACAAATAAAGCTAAGTCAAAATTCTGTCGAGATATACTTCTTTGACATTTCAACAACTTCTTGATTTTATTAAGCAACTTGCTTCGACAGAAGGAATTACATTCTCAACATACCACCTAATTTATTGCGTCTAAACTATCAACATTCATCATAGATCTTAATTTCTTGAACACTTCGACTTGCACACCATTTGTCATGATATCTAGGGGTGTTCAGATCCAATCCAATAAAAAAAAATCCAAAAACCGAATCGAAAAAACTGAAAACAAAAAAACCAATTTGTTTTATGTGTTTGAACCACCATGTAGCATAATCGACTGGTTCGGTTCGGTTTACAGTTGGTTGCATAAAAACCAAACCGGTCCAAACCGAACCAGTATTTATTTCATTTAATGCTTACCATATATTATACATAGAGATTCTCAATCTTACAATTATGTTTAGCTGTCACCCATCTCCATAGAGACACTCAATCTTCCCTAAATTGCTCTCTTTGAGATTCTCAATAATCTTCAAAATTAAATACAATGAATGATATTTATTGTAGCTGCATAAAATCCACTCCCAGCCTTCAATTCCTCTCTGAATCGTCAACCTTCTTTTCTCTATTTAAGTACTCTGGCTCCGACCTTCTTATTCTCAAATCTCTCTAATTTCATCTCAATTTGTTTTCTTGTTTCAAAACCTCATTATAATATCAGTAAGTAAGATTTATAATATGTTGGATTTTAGCTTTTTAATAATTTGTTCGATTTTAGCTTTTTTACGGTTTGTTCGATTTCAACTTTTTTACGGTTTGTTCAATTTCATCTCAATCTTTTCTAATTTTTAGTTTGTTTAATTTTTACAGGAATGAGTCAAGTAAAATCCTCTGATCATGTTGCTTCATCTACTTAATTCGGTCTTATTAGCAACCTCATTAAGGTATACTATAACGTTGTTGCATACAGTATGTGAAAAGTTGTTGTCTTTTGCAATCTGCAGTCGACTAACTACACTACAAAATAATTTACAATATAAAAGATGAAGTTATGTGGCCATCATTTACTATTTTCTCTTTGTTGTGTTATTAATTTGATTTAACTTTTAAAAAAAAACATATTGTTTACTATTTAGTAAACCATGGCTACTTATAGTATAAAATTTAGAACTAAGTTAATTATCACTATTTTGAAAAGTCACTTTGATGTAGTAAACCAGGGCTATTTACAGGATAAAATTTAGAACAAAGTTAATTATCACTCTTTTGAAAACTTACTATTTAGTAAACCATAACCACTTATATTGTAAATTATTCACCGGTAAGAAACCAAGTGCAAATGGATTTTATTTAGAAACTGGAATTTAGCATTAACATGTTAACTGGTGATTTTGTTTAGAAACTGGAATTGACCGATTACATACTTATACTCTAGAATTGAGATTGTTAAGAACTTAAAACATATAAACCTTACCCTAAATGCAGGTTTATGATGAGTTTCTCTTTTTCTTTTTTTGGTTTTCAGGGTGAAACAACTGAACCTCCACCTCCTTTGATACAAAGTAATGAAGGGAACAATGACGAAAAAAATTCTAATAAGAAAAGGAAAGTTGGAGAAGCTTCAATATTGGCCACATTCAATGATCCTAATGTTGCAGCTGGAGATTCAAGTAATAGAAAACATATTAAACCTAGATCTTGGACTTGGAAACATTTTACAAAAATAGGATCAAGAGTTAAGTATAATTGGTGTGATGCATCATATGCTGCTGATTCACAAAGAAATAACACTAGTAATTTGAAACACCATTTGTTACACCAATGTAAGAAGCTTCCTAAAGAGTCTCTTGATCCTACTCAATAGACTCTTGTTCTTCAACAATTGAAAAAAGAAGATGGGAATAGATCTGGTAGTGTTCTCACTAGTGTACATTTTGATAATGAGGCATGTAGGAAAGCTTAAGTTAGGATGATTATTGTTGATGAGTTTCCTTTTAAGTTTATTGAGGGAGAGGGATTTCTGCATTTTATGAGTGTTGTTCAACCTAAAATTTCAATTACTAAAAGGATTACAATTGCTAGAGATATTTAGGATTTGTACACGAGTGAGAAAAATAAGTTAAAAAGTGTGTTAAATAAATCAAATCAATGTGTTTTTCTTACAACTAATTGTTGGACGTTTGTGCAAAATTTGAGTTATCTTTGTCTCACTGCACAGTTTATTGATCATGATTGGAAAATACATAAACAAATTTTGAATTTTTGTCCAATTGTGAATCACAAAGGAGTAACCATCATAAATAAATTGAAAAATGTTTGGAGGAATGGCTAATAAGTAATGTTTTCACCATTATGGTTGATAATACTAGTTCCAACGATGTTGCTATCACTTACTTGAAAAATACGATGAATGATTGGAATTCACATCCATTGAAAGGCGAACATATGCATGTTCGCTGTTGTGCACATATACTAAACCTTATGGTCCAAGATGGACTAGAAGATTATCATTCCTCAATTAGTAAGATTAGGAATGCTATTAGATATGTTCGTGCATCTCCGGGTCATATGGATAGGTTTAAAACTTTCATTAAAGAAACTAGGTTACAAGAAAATCGAGTGTTCAGTTGGTTGTTTCTACTAGGTGGAATTTATGCTTGAAATTACATTGAAGTTTCATAAGGCATTTAAGAGATTGAGTGAGAAGTGTGCTGATTTTGTGCTGATGAAAGGTGGTATTCCTAATAATGAGGATTGGGATAATGCAAAATGTTTTGTTAATTTTTTGAAAATATTTTTGGATATCACAAAGAAGGTGTCAGGTTCTACTTTTGTAACCTCTTCTCAATATTTCAATGAACACATTAGGATATTGACTATATTTAAAGGGTGAATAGAGTTAAAAAGTTCAGAAAACTTACTTGGAATTATGGCTAAAAATATGAAAGCTAAGTATGATAAATATTGGGGTGATGTTGAAAAAATGAATATGTTGCTCTTTGTTGCTGTTGTGCTTGATCCTCGACATAAGTGTAGTTTGTTGGGTGGGGCTTGAATAAGGTATATGTAAAGGATATTGTTGAATCTTTGTGCAAAAAAAATAGAGGAGACGTTATATAAAATATTTTAGAGTTATAGGTTTTTCCTTGGTAAAGGTCAAACTGAAAATTCTACACATTCCTCTCATGAAGTGGAATTGGTAGAACTTAAAGCACCAGATGATGCATTTGCTTTGGATGTTGAGATGGACATGAATCTTAATGAGAGCATGCAGAAAAATGAAGTGGATTTGTATCTCATGGAGAAATTGGAGAAGAAAAGTATTAGTTTTGATATCTTGAACTGGTGGAAGGTGATTGTCGCTACTCGAAAAATGCATCGCACAACGACGGGGAGGCGAAAAGAAAGGACAGAAGATTCGCCACCGAACTTTATTTGTCCCATGAAGGGAAAGGAAAATATCGATAAAACCTTAAGAAAAGAATGGATAAGATGGTCTCGCAACCATGAATGGGTTCGGAAGCCGGTTATGCGAAGGGAAGGTATTAGCACCCCTCGCATCCATCGTACTCGATGGGAACCTTTTGTTTGTCGACGTGTGATTATATTTGCTAAAATATTATGCTATAAAAGTGTGTTCCAAAGGAAGAGAGATAAGGGGTTAGAAACAGGGAAAGAGAGGTAACGGGGAAGAAGAGAGAAAGGACAGACTCGGTAGGACTTCGCGGTCCTAGGCCTACGTATTCTCAATAGACATGAGAAAGTCAGAGTCTACGTAGTTCGGGGGACTATGGATATGGGGTGAATATGCTCGGCAAGGATTGTGGCCCTTGTGCTACGTATCTTTACTTGAACGAAGTAAAGAATCAGAGCAACCGTAGTTCGGCCTACGGTTTGCTGATGTTTTGTGGATGATGCTATTGTGCGCATTCTACCAGTTTAGGTGTTTTGCTGCTCGTATGTGAGGAGACTTATGCGTTACCTGTTTGCGGTAGAACGGACGTAACATATCCTTTTTGAAAGATATTAGGTTTTCGCCAGACGAGGCAAGATGTCACATTTGATCGGTTGAATTGTTTTTAGGGGTGAGATAAGTCCTCGGATAGTAACCCCTACGGGTAGTACCCAATTCTTTATCTCAAGGTTTTTGTTATGAAAAGGTGTGGCGAATGTAACACCCCCTTCTATACCCCAAATAAATGCATAAAGAACAGTTAAGCATATACAAATTTATCAGAGTAATAGTTTTTAGAATAAGGTATAAAGGAAGAATGTCACAACTTTACCAATAAAACACTTGCTCCATAAAATATGTAACATTTTCAATTTAAGCGGAAGATAAAATCATTTGATCGTTTTCAAAATATTAGTCCACGTACACATAAGCTATCCAAATTAATATATCAGTTAGATTTACAAAACCACATAAGCTGATACATCGCAATGTATCACAAAAGAATGACTATACTAGTCTAACTACCCGGTGTTACATATCAGAGCAGCCGACTCAAAAGAATGAAGACTAACTTCACAAAAGGACTCCAGCATCCTAATCTGCAATGCCTCATAGAGCATTATAAAATAGCAGAAGGGTGAGAAATATAACCATAATAATCAAAGCATAAGATTGTATATATATAGGTAATCAATACAAGTTCCACTCCGTATTTCTCACCACCATTCAATTTCTTAGTTATATATATTTGCCACACATATAATAACAACACGAATATTTGTAAAGCATTTCCACATCATGCATACTCTCACAATTTCACAATCTCATCATTCACGCATAAGCATCACTTCATGCATATGTCATATATTAATGTGACTCAACAACTCAATGCAACTCATGCAATGCGGTACCGACTTTCGTTATCTTTTTTCGGTTTTTACATTAAACCGGGTCCACACTTCTAGACCGATAACCGTTATCTTTTTTCGGTTTTTACATTAAACCGGGTCCACACTTCTAGACCGATAACCACAAAGGCCCGTCCTCTAAGCCTTCAAACCCACACTTCTAGGTTTGGGACAAGCCACTAGTTTCCACGAAACTAACAGACATTGCCTCTTGACTAAATGATGCATGTACAATCAACCACAACAAATGCACTTAAGACCGACATCTTAATCTCATGCATTCGAATAATTCACCCTTTCGAGAATTTCATCATGATTGCACATACAACATATATCAAACATTTATCAATGTATTCATTTCACACATCATCATCATACTCAACCACAATGCACACATATCACATATGTTCCCATGCATTTACACAACAATCGCATATAAATATGCACTCACAATTCATTAGACAATACACATACATTCATCATTGTATTCACATGTACTTCTAATTATCACAATTAATGCGCATCGCACATCAACTAGGATTCACGCCCGTAGGTTACCCACAGCACACATCATCACAATAGATCATATCTATATCATATCATAGAGGTATTAACCTATGTGAATCAATCAAACAATCACCACATGAGCAACACAGCAAAAGAAAAATGATGTCACATTCGCCTTCATTCGCCTGGCGAACCCTCGCAGCGAACCTTCGCCTGGCCTTCGCCTGGCGAACTCTCTCAGCGAACACTCGCTAGGCTTCGCCTGGCGAGACTTCCCAGCGAGCCCAAGTCAGTAGCTACTGACTTCATTCGCCACCCTTCGCCAGCACCTTTGCTGGGCGAACCTTCGCTATCCACCTTCGCTTGGCGAACTCGCCAGCGAAGTCCACTGGGACTTAATCATAATTACTCGCCAGCATTCGCTAGGCTTCGCCTGGCGAAGCTTCACCTTCGCTCGCCTGGCGAGAGCCAGCGAACCTGCGCAGAACAGATACACACTTTGTTCCTCCTTCATCAATCCATCATCAACCCTCTCTTACACATCCAAATCAGTATAAACAGCATCAATACATGTTACCCGACCATTCTACGGCATTATTACTCAGTTTCAACCGATTAAATCATCAATCTACCGATTATCCAACATTTTGCCCTAATTGGAAAGTGATGGAACTCTACCAAAACCCCAACCCAACATACATAACATCATACAATGATCAAATAGAAACATTTCTCACCCTTACCTCGATTAATCGGAGCTTTGATGTTGGTTCTTGATGATTTCCACTTTTCCTCTTCTTCTCTTCTCTTTCTCTCCTTTCTTCTTCTTTCCTCTTTCTTTCCAAATGTTTTTCTATCTTTCTTTTCTTTTCTTTCTCTCTTATATATTTCTTTATTTTCCTTCCTTCTAATTTCCTTCTCAATTCTCTATTAATTCCAATGAATAAAAATTAATTTCCAACATTAAATAAAATCCCACTAAATCAATTAATTATTACCATTAATTATTTAATGAAATTTGGGCTGTTACAACTCTCCCCCACTTTAGGAATTTTCGTCCTCGAAAATGTTACCTGATTCAAACAGTTCTGGATAAGACTCTTTCATCCGACTCTCAAGCTCCCAAGTAACATTTCCACCAGCCGGTCCTCCCCAAGCGACCTTCACTAAAGCAATCTCTTTACCT